CTTTACTAGTCCCTAAGGACCCCAAAGCGCTTTACACAACCAGTCATCCACCCATTCACACACTGGTGATGGCAGCTACATTGTAGCCACAGTGTCCGGCAGCCCTGGGGCGCACAGGGCTGCCGGACACTGGCGCCACCAGCCCCCCGGGCCACCACCAGTATGCAACAGGTGAAGTGTCTTGCCCAAGGACACAACGACAGAGACTGTCCAAGCCGGGGCTCGAACCGATTACAAGGCGAACTCCCAACTCTTGAGCCACGATTTAAAAGTGACATCTACAGGGCCACAGTAGCTGTCACCAAGCTGTCTCTGCAGATCATTCCAGAAACAGGGAGCCACGCGTTTGAAAGCGCTGTTGTCCGGTTCTGTTCTGAATGTTGTGAGAGCTTTTATACACACTTCATACTAGTACACTGAACATTCCACCCCCATATTCAACATCCTTTGCTCTCCACCATCTCTCCTCTGCACATGTCCAAAACATCTCAGCATCGCTTCCTTAACTTTGTCTCCAAGCTGCACAACCTGGGCTGTTCCTGAGAACTTTCTAAACAGGTCATGTCCTGTCCACCACTGAAACGCCCCAGATGCAAAATGAAGGCGTGAAAAGGCGAAAGAAAACTGTGCAGGAGAGGTCTGTGCACCCATCCGGTGCATTCCCAGGTTTATGGAGCACAAATACTGGTGTATATTGAAAAAGAACAGTTTTTTCTTAACAAAAACCTTTTCAAAGTGAAACAGCAGCCAACACCATTATAAAGAAAACTCCTACTGCAGCTTTGACCCTTACCTCCATTGCCCTAAGTACATCCATCCCCTCCACCAGCTCTCCAAACACCACATGTTTGCCGTCCAACCAGTCCGTTTTGTCAGTGGTGAGGAAGAACTGAGAGCCGTTTGTGTTTGACCCAGAGTTCGCCATGGAGAGTTGCCCTGTGTGCATAGGAGACAACAGTTAGTCAGTCAGCCCTGCCTGAGCCTAGCTCTGCTAGAGGTTGCTTCTTATTAAAAAGTAGTTATTCCTTTCCACTTTCATCAGGTGCTGCACATAGGGGATCATCAGACTTTGGGGGTTTAGATCAAATACTGTAGAGCTGCTTTAGTGAAATGGCAGCATTTCAATAAAACTGGCTTCAATCCATCCATCCATTCGCTTCTGCTTGTCCTTTTTCAGGGTCACGGGAGCCTGGACAGGTTGCCAGTCTGTCGCAGGGCCAACACACAGGGACAGACAACCATTCGCACTCACATTCACACCTATGGGCAATTTAGATTAATCAATTAACCTATCCCCAATAAGTGCATGTCTTCGGTGGGAGGAAGCCGGAGTACCCGGAGGGAACCCACGCAAACACGGGGAGAACATGCAAACTCCACACAGAAAGCCCCGGCCTGATGGAGGAGTTGAACTCAGGACCTTCTTGCTGTGCGGCAACAGTGCTAACAATATGTCTGCACAAAGTCTGTGATAACATTACCAGTATTGCAATGATAAAACGTGTGTATTAGCTATACAGCCCCATTGTTCTTCTTTATCAGGTCCAGTCTGCTCGCATAAGCACCAAACACCGAATAACCTCGATCCACTCAATCAACAAACGTAAAAGAATTCAAACATGCTTTTACTGAGGTCAAAAATCTGAGGGTAAATACATGCCACGGGTAAATAAAATAGCTTTTCTTATTCACTGTGGCTTTTGCAATGTTCGTTCTGCACGTTCATATAACAGTGATGAAGAAATTAAGATTTATCAGTCATCTCTATGTCATGAGTCAAAAATCATGCCTTTTGTGCAGAACCTGCCTACGTATAGCAGCGCTGATAACCCAAACAAAAACCAAGAGCACCATGATAGCTGGGTAACATTCTTCGCGTTATGACAGGGAATGCGCACGTTAACACGCTAATAAAAATATAAGACTCTTGAAGTTACATATTTAGCCTCTCAGCAGGTAACAAAAAGTTATAGATTAGAAGTGGCACTACGAATATTACAGAAACACACCTGCCAGGTTACAAGTGATCACAGATCGAGTTTGACACTGAGATGCGTCCTCCATGTAGGATTTGTTACTGCAAACGGTGAGCTATTCCAGAATTTACTGTCCTTTAGTCAGTTTGTTGAGTGGCTTGTGCCTACATAGTTAACCACATAGCCTGCAAAGTACTTTAAAAAGAACTCATTCTCATCTATAACGCTAATTTTAAAAATGCCTTTGCGTCAGTAAAGTTCAAAAAATCCACCAGTAAGGTTCATTCTTCTTTAAGGCATTACTGTAGTTTTCAGGCTAATAATCCTGAAGTGCCAGAATTACACTTAATGCCATTTATGTTAAATAGTAATTGACAGTAGTGTTAGTTTAAATAAATGTTAATTAAAAGTCAGATAAAAAGATCATTACAGCAGCTCTTAGTTACGATGGAGTGAGAAAAGTAAGTTTGTCATGAATTAGATCCCACTTGTTCGACTCGTGTGATTGGACGATGGACTGATCTGTTACACTCGCTAACCTGTGACTGAATTCTTGGCACAAATCTGTCAGCGAGTTATTTGTGTTTCCTCACTTGATTTATGAGTTTTCAGCTACAATGCAAAGAATTCCAGCAACAGCTCTTCAGTCGTGCCACGTCGCCTTTCAACGCTTTAGCAATCACAGGTTTGACACAAAAATGCTGGCGTGTCCAATCCGGTCGTAGGAACAGGAAGTACGAGCCAACACACCTTTGTCTTTTGTTGTGCTTCTGA